CTTTCACTGCGTGGAAGTATGTGGATCCCCTGAGCTCATTTGACCTTCAGCCACAACTGCATCATCCCTGCTTGGCCAGGGAGAAAGCAGGCTCAGAGAGAAGGTAAATAAATGACTGTTCCGGTGTCACAAGTGGTTAGTGACATAGATAGGCTTTGAACTCAAGGTTCTTTGAGGCCCAAACCTCTGTTCTTCCCACTTTGCTAAGCTGCCTCACACATTGTTATACAGAAATTAAGGTAAGTAATATGGAAGGAAAGAAGGTTAATATGTAAATTAATGGTCACTGTTTTGATATGATGTCATGAAACATTTTTGTCCCCACCCTCATTTACCTTGAGGGTGTTTGTCCTGGGTGCAGTTGTTAAGGAAAAGTCTCTCCAAATTCATAAAATTGCAGGAGTCTGTAAATTTTCATATCCTGCCTCAGTTTTGTTGTTTCTGCCCACCTGTATCTCAAAGTGATCAGTCCGTCCCCACAGGCATAGCCACATCTCCCTAGAGTCAACCGCATTCTCGCCTGAGCTCTGTGTGTGCACTTAACACTGAAGAGAGATAGAGCAGGATTCACCAACAAACCCTGGATTTTGTTTTGTTTTAAGAAAAAAAAAAATGTATTACCTTGAGTATAAAATTATGGAAGAATTTTGTCCTACTCGTGAACACCCTGGGGGTTTCTGCTTCCATTCTTCAGTCCCTGCTGCAGCAGCTCACACATTTTCCCCTTTCTAAGCTGTCTGCATACTAACTTCCCCTTGCACCTGTGGCTGGTGGTCACCACGTGGGCAGCACAGACCAGATCCTCTGGCTTTGAGCACCTTGACTTAACCTTCACGGCTCCTCTTTGCTCAAATTCCTCTGTTCAAAAAATAATAAGTGTGTCTAGATTCTCCTCCCTCTCAGCTACTCTCTACCCCATTTACTTCCTACTCTATTGAACCCCTCATACTCTGCTGATCCTACTCTTAAAAATAATAGCAACCTCCCAGTCACCAAACTCCGAGGTCTTTTCTCAGCACTCACTCCCTGTGACCGTGGGCTGCTCGGAGTCTTTTGCTGGGTGCTGGGATCCATTGATGGATCTCCTTCTATTCCTGCCCCGGCCTTTATGCCAGGTTTAAGAACAACTACTCCCCAGGGGGTTCTCTCCTTTTCATTTTGTCTATCTCTGGATTATCTTGCTTCTCTGTGGACGCCACCCAATCTTGTAGGTCCTGGCCTGACTTTCCTCTGCAACTCAGTCAATCAGTCAGCTTCTCTGACTCTCTTTTTTTTTTTTTTTTTTTTTTGAGACGACATCTCACTCTGTCATCCAGGCTGGAGTGCAATGGCATGATCTTGGCTCACTGCAATCTCTGCCTCCCAGGTTTAAGCGATTCTCCTGTCTCAGCCTCCTGAGTAGCTGGGATTACAGATGTGCACCACCACACCCAGCTAATTTTTTTATTTTTAGTAGAAACAGAGTCTCGCTATGTTGGCCAGTCTGATCTCGAACTCCTGGCCTCAAGTGATCCACCTGCCTTGGCTCCCCAAAGTGCTGAGGTTACAGTCATGAGCCACTGTGCCTAGCTTTCTCTTTGACTCTTTAATATTCCTGCATAACTTAAATACCTTCCAAGCACCTGCAATGGAATATGGCCTGAACAGAACTCACTGTATTTCTCTTCGTGATCCCCATTTCTCTTAATGATGCTACCCTCCTCTCAAGGCTCCATTTTTGGCTTCTTTTCCTGTGCATCCTCATTGTAATACCCTGCAAGATCCTGCTGGAATTCTGTGAACCTCTCCTCACATCTCATCATTCCCTGCTAATCACCACTATTCATTTCAGCTACTCATTAACTCTTGCCTAATGTTGTAATAGCCTCCCAGTAGGTCTTTCCAGCCTTCCCTCAATGAATCATTTTGCTACTCTTAACCTTTCTGGTGTTTTCCCATTGCTCACTCTAAAGTCCTGAATCCTTGGCCTGGCACTGGGGGCTGCCCACAATCCAGGTCCGCAATCTGTGGCCTCAGCCTGACTAATGTCATTTCCTCATTCCCTGTGGGATCTGCTATTCCTGGTTGGGCCTGGGGAGAGTGCTTACAGGTTCTTTGAGAGTTTTATTTCTTTAAGAGGCATCTGTGGCCGGGCGCAATGGCTCACGCTTATAACCTCAGCAGTTTGGGAGGCTGAGGTGGGCAGATCACGAGGTCAAGAGATCGAGACTATCCTGGCCAACGTGGTAAAACCCATCTCTACTAAAATATAAAAAATTAGCCAGGCGTGGTGGCACATGCCTGTAGACCCAGCTACTCAGGAGGCTGAGGGAGTGAATCCCTTGAACCCAGGAGGTGGTGGTTTCAGTGAGCTGAGATCACGCCATTACACTGTCTTAAAAAAAAAAATAGGCATCTGTATCAGAGACCTTAAAAGCTAAAATGATCAAATTCTTAAAGAAGGCTTCTCTAAGTTACTCTAGTATTAGAAACAATCCTCTAGCCAGTGTCCAGGTAGAATATGAAATATTCTGTAATTGCCCACCTTCTTTCCTTTGCTCATGCTGATTTCATAACCTGAAAATAGCCTGTCCCCTGATTTTATGTGTCTAATTCCAAAATCCAGATTTTTCACTAAACTGCCCCGGATTCCTTCATTACAATTATTTAAGTACTCAGCACTTCCATCTCTAAGCCGAGACTTTCTTATGGGCAGTGATAAGATCTTAGTTACAAGGGACAAAAAGAAACATCGTGCTTGACACATAGTAGATATTCAATGAAAATTTGAATGACTACTAGAATGAAAGAAAAAATATATCCACGTGTTCCTTCTTACCTGACTTTGTTTTTGGGTAGAATGTGGGTCTGATTTATATCCTACAATACTTAGCATTGTGCTTTGTGCATAATAGATTTTCCATAAATATTTCTTGAATTAGTGAATTAGCTATGTAGTTGATCCTGATAGGATCTTTCTGAATGCCACATTACTGTATTTCACCTTCAGTAACTTAAGTGCTTTTAATATAACTAACATATTTAAAGTATGTTAATCTTTTGATTGTTACTAGTTTTTAACAGTGATTATCTTTGTCTTTGAACTGGTTTGCTTTTTCTTTTTTTTTTTTTTTTTTTTTTTTTTTTTTTTTTNTTTTTTGTTTGTTTGAGACAGGGTCTCACTCTGTCATCCAGGCTGGAGTGCAGTGGTGTAAACACGGCTCACTGCAGCCTCAACCTCCTAGGCTCAGGCGATACTCCCACCTCAGCCTGCTGAGTAGCTGGAACTAGAGGCGCTTGCCACCATGCCTGGCTAGTTTTTGTATTTTTTGTAGAGATGGGGTTTCACCATGTTGCCCAGGCTGGTCTCGAACTCCTGACTTCAAACAATTTTCCCTCCTTGGCCTCCCAAATTGCTGGGATTGCAATCTGAGCCCCCATGTTGGCCAGGTTGGCTTTTGCTGCATTCTTAATTTTGATTGTTAACACATTATATATCATGGAGTGGGGGGGTGGGGGGACAGTGCTTTCTTAGTTTCACAAAGGAAATTAGAAAGAAAAAAGAAGGGTCACTTTTAAGAAAAATGTGACGGAGCTTATCTATTTGCTTTAGCTCCCATCTCTAGGTATTGGTGGGGTTCTAGGACTAGCAATTTTTTCTGCAATAGTGGTTGAGTTGTTCTTTCTAGAATCATCATGGCTCCATCCAGGAACACATAATTTGGATGCTTTCAATGGGAAATGGAGTCAGGCAGCCTTGTTGAAATGCCAGTGGAGCATTAGAGGGGGTTCCCAAACTTCAGTGAAGTTGAACTAAGTTTCTTTGCTTCCCCCCATACCAGGATGCTAACACTATTTTTTTTTTTTTTTAATTTTTACAATGAGGAATGCTTGCTGGTCCTCCCTGACAACCTTTTACTGTAGAATATTTGATTTCGATTACTGAATTAATGGTTCAGTCATCCCTCTATCTGAGGGCATTGGTTCCAGGACTCCCATGTATACCAAAATCTACAAATACTCAAGGCCCACAGTCGGTGCTGTAAAACCCAAGAATATGAAAAGACAGCCCTTGGTATATGGGGGCTTTGCATCCTCAGAACACTGTATTTTTGATGTCATTTGGTCACAGATACAGAATCCACTCATAGAAAGGGCTGATGGTATCTATTCAAAAAATTTGTACTTGAGTGGGTCCATGTGGTTCAAACCTGTGTTGTTCAAGGGTCAACTGAACTTGCTTTTAGTCATGTTACTTGGTGCAAAGCTAAGTAGTAATGAAACAAAAAAACTAACTGGAAATTGTCAGGGATGCCTTTGTGATGAGTGTGCCTTTGTGATCCACCCCGCCTTAAGGTTCACTGCTGCTTCTGGTTTTGTTGTTGTTTGGGGTTTTTGTTTCGTTCTCTTCAAATGACTTGGTGGGAAAAATAAAACATGCCTTCACATGCTTCTTCTGTAGTGTGACTTTAATCTCTGTGAGAGAAGAACAATTCTAACTCATGTATGTAAACAGAGCAAGCTAGTTACCAGAAGTACCTAGGCTTGTGAGGTTGCCTAAATCTTGCAATTAAGGCTTGCAAGTGGGTAAGTAGAGTCAGGAAAAAAGGTCAGACGATCTGAGGAGAGAAATTTACTTCTAGGAAATGCTACGTACTTATTGGAAGCAGGAGAGTTTCTCCAGTATATTTTAGAAGGATGACCCAGAGTTTGCTGAAATGTACAAAACAGAAACAAAAAGATTCCCTCTTTGTGAAATATGGATGCATCATCTACACCTGTGGGAGGTGTTCATTTTTTTTGGAAATGAACAAAGTATTTGGCGTGACGTGCTCTCTGAAACAACTCTCATTCACCTTTCACTGGGCATTATTGGACTCCTATAGTGTCAAGAGTGGTAAATTTTTAGGCTTTTGGCCCAATGTCAAGACTTCTGAGCAACAGTATAAATCCATTAGATATGTTGACATCTCAACGTCTTTGAAATAATTAATATTATTTACATTATTTGTCTCTCTCAGAAATGAACACACCTATGAGTACTGGATGCCTGTGAGCTCCCCATCACCTGCACTGCAAAGACGCAGAGCGGCGGCCTCTGAGAAGCAGCTCCTTCCCCCTCACCTTGGCCTTGACCTTCCTGCTCAAGGTCTACCATGGAGACGCTGTCCCAGGACTCCCTGCTGGAATGTCAGATCTGTTTCAATTACTACAGCCCCCGGCGCAGGCCCAAGTTGCTGGATTGCAAGCACACCTGCTGTTCAGTGTGCCTCCAGCAGATGAGGACCAGCCAGAAGGACGTGCGGTGCCCCTGGTGCCGTGGTGTCACCAAGCTGCCCCCCGGCTTCTCCGTGTCACAGCTCCCGGACGACCCAGAGGTCCTGGCTGTCATTGCCATCCCACACACTTCCGAGCACACCCCGGTCTTCATCAAACTTCCCAGCAATGGGTGCTACATGCTGCCCCTGCCCATCTCCAAGGAGCGCGCGCTGCTGCCCGGAGACATGGGCTGCCGCCTGCTGCCCGGGAGCCAGCAGAAGTCCGTCACCGTGGTGACCATCCCTGCTGAACAGCAGCCTCTGCAAGGCGGGGCTCCCCAGGAGGCGGCAGAGGAGGAGCAGGACAGGCGGGGCGTGGTGAAAAGCTCCACCTGGTCGGGGGTGTGCACTGTCATCTTGGTGGCCTGCGTCTTGGTCTTCCTCCTCGGCATCGTGCTCCACAACATGTCTTGCATCTCTAAGCGCTTCACTGTGATTTCCTGTGGCTGAAGACAGCTGCAGGGAAGTCTCTGGTGGGTGCCAACTTAGGGGTTGAGCAGGTTGGTGATGAGATCCCGGTGAGAAGATGGGGGGGAGCGACACTGACCATTTGGTGCTGAGCGCTGGCCTCTGGGTTGCCTCTTGATTTACCCCAAGACAGACACGAAGGGCAGAAGGTGAGGTCTCAACAAGATACCAGGCGAATTGTTCTGAGTGTTGATGGCAACAGCTTTGAAGATGATTGCATGCATCCTCATAATCATGTATTCAATGGACTGTAATTTATGATTTTTGAAAATCATGTTACAAGATAGACATAGTCTACTTAGACGTTAAACTGCACAAGTGCGTACAATGTGATCTTCTCTAAATGCGGTAGATTAAAACAAAGATGCTATGTATACAAGTAGAGTTAAACCTGCGAATCCGTGTAAAAATCCAGTGAAGACATGCACTGCTGGCTTCTTTACTTTTTTTGTTGTTGTTCTTTTTCTTGAAACGCAGTCTTCATTTAGTTGCTAAGGCTTTTTATACATTTTGAATGGCACCAAAACAAAACAAGTCAAGACGGACGGTCGTTTTTTTGGAGAAAATATTTGAACAAGTGTCTCCAATGTGTTGTGTTTTGTCATGAACATTCATTTTCTTCACGTGTAATTAGAGCTCACTACATGTTGATGAAACTGAAAGCTCAACAGGGGAGCAATAAACTGAGAAATCATGAGACATGTCCAGTCCCGCGGGAACCCTGTATGCTGATTTTCCTCAAGCCATCTCACAAAATAAGAATTTCAAATGTAAATATTGTGTATTTGTGTGTGTATGTATGTGTGTCTAATTTGATTTACCTCAGGTGTTTGAGTCTTTGCAGAAGAATCCCGGGATTAAGACTTCATTGGGCATGGGTGAGTCGAGTCCCTGAAGCGGTGGCCACTTCATGCGCACCTGCACCCAGCGAGGAATCTCCTATCCGTCACCTGCAACACTCGCTCCTCCTCTGTGTATTTGAGTGCTGCATTTTGTCAGAGGCAAATGGAGAGTAACAGAACAGTGTCTCTTCTCCCGGTTTGGGAATCTTGCGCTGGCCATGAGTGTTGTGACTGATGGCCAACCTGGGCGGGCGTTTTAATAGACGGTCTGTGGTTCTTTTTTGAAAGATGCTCTTCCATGAGAGTTAAACCAGTTAGAATTCCAGTTTCCTCTTATTGATGTAAGAGAGAGTATCTCCTGTATTTTAACATGTTTTTACTGAGAAAAGTGGCAAGGTAAACCAACAGCTCAAATTCCCAAAATAAGTGGACCAGTTCTTCATCTACTGTCAAATATTCTTAAATGTGTAACGGTCTCTAGATGCTCATGAAGAAAGCTCTGCTAGATGTAAGTGATAAATTCCTATCCCTGGGTGCATGTGCATTCAGAAATAGCTATGAGCTTTACAGTTCTCATCTAACTTATTTTATGGAATTCATGAAGCAAGTGGTATGTGGCAAGGACTCCACTTATAAATGTAACTGTTTTTGTGTTCCACTGAATCCCTGAAAATGGTGAGGAGGGTGGGGGGAAGCGAAGGAAAGAGAAGCAGGGCTAATTCTAAAAAGCAAGGCTAGAAAATAGCCCTGTGAGGTCAAGATAATTTAATTTATTTACATGCTACCTGTTATCTTCAAGCAACACAAAACATGCATATAAAAGTGATGGAATTAATGTGAAATAAAACAAAAACATAATGACTAGAATACAAAACTAATACTGCTAATTGGCATGAGAATTCAACATAAAATTAGGAGCTCTGATTTTTCAAATTTTTCAAATTTATCATAAGACCTTTAGGAAATGTATTTGAAAGCTCAAAATAGAAATTAGGTTAAAATGCCATTTTATTGTGTAAGCTATTGGGCATTATACAACAAATAATCTAGGATTTATTTGGTATTAATAATTTAGGCATCATATTAGCTGAATACTCTCCTCTATTATGTAATATACTGTTGGGTTAGTGTCAATTTCTCAGACTCTCCCAGGCTGCCATAATGCATGTCTGACCTAATTTCTGTTTCTCTTGGAGAAACACACACACACATATACACACCACAGAAATGTTGCATTAAGAATGCTACATTTCAAATAGACTTTACCCTCGCAATTTTAGGCTATGCCATATTCAAATTAATTTTGCAAGTGATATCTGCATATGTTTCTGTACAGTATGAAATGACCGACCCTGTAGTGTAGTATGTGATAGAGTTCTACTTGTTAAAGTAGGTTAGATACAGACACTAATGTGTGTGATGATAGCGTCCTGTGTTTCTTAGTGCAAACCTGTATAGTAAAAATGTTCATAGAACTTTTACTTAAAAACAGTCCCGTGCTAGAGCTGCCATTAAGCAGTGCAAAATTAATCGGCAGCATGGTAGATTCTTGACCTTAAATTTAACAATAGCAACCAAAATCAGATTATTACTTTTTTTCTTGCGAGTCTTATTGACATAAGAAACATTGTTTAAATTGTTTAAATGGATTCTGCCTGCAGTTATTTGTGTACCTGTTTGTTAGGGTGTGCATTCTTTGTGTGTGCGTGTGTGTGCGCGCGCGCGTGTGCGCATGAGAGAGCGAGAGAGCGAGAGAGAGAGAGAGATCTCAGCCTGCCAGATAGAATTTTATAGGCTCAATGAAGTTTTAATGTTACTTGGCATCCTGTTGTTCTGGTCTCTTCTGGCATTTACCAATGACCCTTAACAAACACATCTACCCATGCGACCAAAGTCCACTGACACAAGAGGCCAGAATTCTTACTTGCACATCAATGAAAAGTCACAACTGAAAAGCACAGAAAGTTAGAGCTGAAAGCAGCCTCCGGTGGCTTCATTTTGTAGATGGGTCTGTTTTGTAATTCTCCAGAAAAGCGGGGATATGAACTTTGCACTGTGGTGTCTTCTTGCTCCATCCTAGGTCTGTCTACGTCTCTATCTGGCTATGATCCTTTCTAGGGTTCATTAAAACCCTTTACTAAGTCAACTATTGCTTTAAAGGATATTTTCTGTAGGTTTATATGCTCATTTTAGTTAGCATCTACCTCTCTAGGAAATGAAAGGGGGGTTGACATAGGGATGAGTATAGACATTGAAAGACAACTATCAAACCATGCTGTTTGAATTTTTAAAATTGTAGAGCACTGGTGTCCAAGTCTCCCACCCCACTTGTATGTAAAGGACAGTGAGTGTTGTGTAAATAGTAAACTCTAAGAAGCATGAATTTTCATCTTTATTAATGATCTTGACATAAGCAAGAGAATGCTTCATTTGTTAAGTAGAGCCAAGAATGCTACAAAAAAGCATTGTCTTTGGAAAAATTTTGTGTAATGACTTGGGGCATAAGTTGTGATGAAAAGGCAACTTGATTCTCAGTTCCAGTCATACTTAAGGATCAGAAAGCTCTAAGATATTTTCTTTGAAAATATAATTGTTTAATTTTTTGCATGACTTACATATCGGGTCCCTTGAAGGTGAAACCAGGTGATGGTATAATCCGTGAGATCTAGATTGGCACTGTTCTATAGAACTTTCTGTGGCAATGGAAATGCTCTGTCACCTGTGCTGTCTGGTACAATGGCAACAAGCCACATGGACTTTCAGGCAGTTAAAATGGGGTTAGTACAAGAGAAGAAGTGGATTTCAAATTTTATTTAACTGAAATCTCAATATGACAAGTGGCTGCCATATTGAACAACGCAGTTCTGGATGATCGTGCTTGCGGATCTAGCATCAAAGTATTAATGGAGTAACAGTGAGGCGAAAAAGAGTGTGTGCTGGTAACATGTAGTTGGCAAAAGGTAAAAAATTCCTTTATGGGCCTAAAAAGTATGTGGTCTCAAGTATGACAGGAAAAATTCATTGCTGCCCTTTGGAACTGTTGCTGATAGACTTTAGGCCAAGGAATGATAAGTGAAGCTGAAAGAGTGCTTTATTAAGCCCCTTTTCTGGGCTTATTAGCTGCATGTGAACCTATTGTCCAAAAATAGTAGTTAGACAGTAGCTGTAAAATGTTTGACTTGCAAGCTATGCATGACCTATTCTGTGAAATTGTGTCTAGGGTCCTGTGGCCAAAAAGTAAATGTTACAGGAAAAAAAAAAAAAAAACCTAATGAAATCCCTGTTCACTTCCAATATCTTATCCAAACTTCATTTGTGTATTAGTAAGGTGCAAATATAAGAGCAAGCATGGTTTGCAGTGTTCAGACTGTTTTTGTTTGCCCTTGAAGTCTGCCAGCTTGTCATTGTATTTAGTGTGGGCATATGTGGGCATCATTTTTCAGATGCCAGACTAAAACATAGGTACTATTTTTAGAGTGAGATTTGACATTGTTTTAGTCTCTTTCTTTTTTAAACAAAAGTTTTAGTTCACTGAAAGAGTTGAAGATTTGAAGCTTTGCACAAAGGCACTTTTTTTTTTTTAACAGTAAAACATGTTGCCCATGAAATTTAAAGACTTGAAGGTTACTGAAGCTACTAGAATTAATTTTTAGCTAAATGAAAGGAAGCAGAAAATTCAGTGTGAAATATATTTTTTCTGTAAAGACCAGATTCTTACTAATAATCTGGTATTTATTCCAGTCTAGATTTTGATTTGAAGAGTTCCCATCCCTTTATTTGAAAACTTATATTGCTGTCAAAATGGGTTAGTCTGCTTTTCACTGTTTTGTAAATGGAATATAAACCAAATGCATTTACTTCATTTTAGCAGAAATAGTTTTTTTTTTTTTTTTAGAACTCATCAGTGGGCAAGACTTTTCTCCTTAGCTTGTCTTTAAAAATCATTTAATTTTTTTTTTGTCAAGATAGTAGTCTTTCTTTAGACTCAAAGAGGAAGATAGAAGTCCAAAAGTTATTGATGCAAGAGGAATGATGCACAAAAGACTTCAGTTTCTATCTTCTCTCAGAAAAACAATGCTGCCCACCAGTCAGCATTTTGTTTCCACATAAGAAGTGTCAGTCTGTCATCCCTGACCTAGATGGAGAAGCTGTTCCTTGACGTTGCCATCATTCTCAGTAAATTGTCACCTACAAGGTAATTTTTACCAAAACAGAAACTATTGAGAAGAATAAGATAGTCAAGGTAATTCAGTAGCTGTTTTGAAAGTAGTAGTCTATTTCAAAAGCAAAAACAATGATGTTCAGTTGCTGGATTTTAACATTTTTTTTTTATATATGAAGTTTCGCTGTTATTGCCCAGGCTGGGGTGCAATGGTATGATTGCCACTCACTGCAACCTCTGCCTCCCAGGTTCAAGCAATTCTCCTGCCTCAGCCTCCCAGGTAGCTAGGATTATAGGCAGCACCACCATGCCCGGCTAATTTTGTATTTTTAATAGAGACAGGGTTTCTCCATGTTGGTCAGGCTGGTCTTGAACTCCTGACCTAATGTGATCTGCCTGCCTCAGACTTCGAAAGTGTTGGGATTACAGGCATGAGCCACTGCACCTAGCCGACTTGAAACACTTCTAAAAGATAAGTGGAAATTCAAGCCATTAATTTTTCTGGCACAACTGACTAACACACACACACACACACACACCCCACAATTTAGCTGTAATTGACACACACACACACCACAATTTAGCCGTAATTGGAGTTAAAAATCAAGTTAAAAAATGTTAGTCATGTTTTCCAATTTGTGAGTTATACAATATTGGATTAGATGTTAATTTCTTAAGTGTTGCTATGGGCTGCATACATTATGTCAAACTACCTTGGAGAGTGTCTATATAAACACACAAAACTTTCCAAATATATGAAGAGGTAGGTTCTACTGTATACATTTTATTGGAAAGCCATTGATTGTTGAAGAACATAAGCAGGTGGGGCATTTAATTTCTTCCAAATACCTTATTTTTTGGATCTGCTGAAGTGATTGGGGCGAGTGCACCATTATTCCTGAACCCCTGAAATGTGGTTCCCATTTTTTTGCACAAATTTTCTTCGTCGAGCCAACAATTTTTTTTCAGGATTCACTGCCTGGGATATCCCACTATATACATCTCACCTATGATGTAGTGGTGCTTGAAACTCTCATCTCATTAGCTAGATTTTATTCTAATCCAAGGTTTCTGATATTTTTCATACTATGATATTTTTAGGGACAATCAGTAATATTTGGGGCAGAGCACTGAGGGACCTCTTGAAATCTGCAACAGCATGCATTTTCTTTGTTTTTGTAGGGGGTGCTTCCCTTTTGCTGTCTGTGTTCTAGAACACTGCTCTCAATTCATTGCCATGGGGTGTAGAGCTAGTAGCCTGTGTGAAAGTCTTCTGTAATCTCCTCGGGGTGTGAGTTATTGGGTTATTCTAACAGGAGTTTTCCAAAGGGATGGTCCATTTTTAATTCAACATTTGCATTTTGAAAATCCAGAAGTAGACAGTTGGATATAATGGTGGTGGAAGAGCTTGGGCTGTAAGCAGAAGGAAATAAATATGACAAATGTCTCTTAAAGGGGATCTAGTTGATACCTCTGTTACCTGTTTTTAAATAGTGGGAGGACACAGTAGCTGGTACCTTACACTGTGCCTCAGGAAAATCCTATGATGATTTCATTTATAAATCCTCTTAGGATTTTCTGGGTTGAGGGACAACGCAACTATTAAGTAGAGGGAGATGGAGAAGTGAAGCATTGGGTCTACATCAATGGACAGGCAGATAAACCCAGAGAGGGAGAAAATACTGAATAAAGGAAGAGAGTATAGCTGCAGAACAAGACATATAGGAGCTGAAGGCAAGACATGGCAGAAACCAGCTGGAGAAAGAAGCGCGGGACACCTAGGACAACTTAGTCAAGCACAATCTGTCATTCCAGTATGGACTACCGAGTTCAATTCAGGATGCTTAAGACAAATGGGGCAATACGTTCAGCTGATGAGGATCCAAGGAGGCCCCATTTTCCCCATCACCCTGTCCTACGCGCGTGGCTTGGATTGTTAGCACACTAGGCAATTTCAGAGCCCGCTCGGGAGTTGGTGGCCACTTTGGTGCAGACAACCAACTCTAAGACTCTAGAATCCTCTTAACCATGGAGGGCAATGCCTATTCCTGTGGATCTTTCCTGACTGGAGTATGTCAGTACTGTTGGGAAAATGAGTTCAAGAATATTTCAGTTTATAGAGCCTGGTTGCTGTCATATATTTTTTTCATTCCACCACTTGTTTGTGTTTGCCTCACTCCATAGTCATAGGTGTGGAAGCTGCTTTCAGCTTGGGGCTGTAACAAACTCCCAACATAAGCCATGTAGCTGCGGCCCAGGGTTCCTTCCATCTACAGCTTCAGCGGTGGGTTCCGTGGCCCTCTTAATAACAAAAACTCCAGTCTAATGGCTAGATTAATGCTGCTCGGAGGCTATTAAATCCTTGACGTGTTTCATTTACAATTATGTGGATTATTTATTTTAGGAGCTTTTTTTTTTAAGGGCCAAATAGCCCTACAGATAAATGAGCTGCTGGGCTGTGTAGAAAATATTGTTCAAA